CTCTCTGCAGCCCCTCAGCGCCCCGCCGGAGCCTGCCCTGCCCCGGGCCCGGCCGCCCCTCTCGGGCCCGGCCCGCGCCGCTACCTTGTACTTGCTGAAGCCGGCCAGCTGCTCGGGGCTCACGTACTCCATGGCGGCGCTGCCGCTGCCGCCGTTCCGGGGCTATCGCTGTGTTCCCGGTGTGTTCCCGGTGTGTTCCCGCTGTGTTCCCGGTGTGTTCCCGCTGTGTTCCCGCTGTGTTCCCGGTGTGCTCCCGGGCCGCTCCCGGCGCCGCCGCATCGGCCCACCCGGCGTGGCCGTGACGTCACCGCGCCGGCCCCGCCCCCCGGCACGGCGCCGCCTGGCGGCCGGGAGGACCCCGCGCGGGAGGGGCGGAAAGAGCGGGGGAAGGTCCCGGGAAAAGCGGGAAAAGATGGCGGGAAAACGGGGAAAGATGGCGGGAAAACGGGGAATGATGGCGGGAAAACGGGGAATGATCGCGGGGAAAACGGGGAATGATCGCGGGAAAAACGGGGAATGATCGCGGGGAAACGGGGAATGATCGCGGGAAAAACGGGGAATGATCGCGGGGAAACGGGGAATGATCGCAAGAAAACGGGGAAAGATCACGGGAGAAACGGGGAATGATCACAGGGAATGATTGCGGGGAAACGGGGAAAGATCGCTGGGAAAACAGGGAATGATCGCGGGGAAAACGGGGAATGATCGCGGGAAAAACGGGAAAAGATGGCGGGGAAATGGGGAATGATCGCGGGAAAAACGGGAGAAGATCGCGGGAAAAACGGGAGAAGATAGTGGGAAAAACGGGGAAAGATTGCGGGGAAAACGGGGAATGATCGCGGGGAAACGGGGAATGATCGCGGGGAAACGGGGAATGATCGCGGGAGAAACGGGAGAAGATAGTGGGAAAAACGGGGAATGATCACGGGGAAAACGGGGAATGATCGCGGGGAAACGGGAGAAGATAGTGGGAAAAACGGGGAATGATCGCGGGGAAAACGGGGAATGATGGCGGGAAAAACGGGGAAGGATCACGGGAAAAACGGGGAATGATCGTGGGGAAATGGGGAATGATGGCGGGAAAAACGGGGAAGGATCACGGGAAAAACGGGAGAAGATAGTGGGAAAAACGGGGAAAGATCGCGGGAGAAACGGGGAAAGATCGCGGGAAAAACGGGGAAAGATCCTCGGAAAAAGATCTGGGGAAAATGGGAAAAGATCGTGGGGAAAAATGGGGAAAGATCGCAGGGAAATATCCCAGGAAAAATGGGAAAAGATCCCGGGAAAAACGGGGAAAGATCGCGGGAAAAACGGGAAAAGATCGCAGGAAAAACGGGAAAAGATCATGGAAAAAACGGGGAAAGATCGCGGGAAAAACGTGGGAAGATCCCAGGAAAAATGGGAAAAGATCACGGGAACAAC